GCGTGAGTGCGTGAATGTGCCACAGGCTGAGATTGTTTATTGTTGGAGAGAAGCATGACCGTGCTGAAGTTTATTTCGTGTTTAACACGCGCGGGTTCTGAATGCGGGGCTCGCCTGGACATAAACGGGACAGGTTCCTCGGAGCGGCCGGGGAAGTCGGGCCCACGCCATGACGGAAGGCGGCGGAGCGGCCCCACCGCCTCTGCTCCGTCTGTGGAAAGGGAGGTCCTAGACCTCAGCAGGCGAAACGGGGCCGTTCGGAGAGTGGCTCAGCTTCTGCTGTGAGAAAGGCAGAAATTTTGCGGAGTTTTTTCCCTGGGTTCTGAGGCAGGGGCCGAACTCCGGCCGAAAGTCACGGGGCAGTACCGCGAGCGGGGAGACCGCGTCCCCCGTGAGGGAAGGGGTAGCAGCCGCTCTGAGAGGGGCCGAGCGGCCCCGGCTGTTAGCCCGGTAGAGGCCGGCAGATGGGCCAGGCAGTGAGCCCAGCCCAGAGCCGCCACTGTGCGCCCGCCCTTCCCTTGGTCTGGCGAGGGTGGAGCTCGGCACCGAGGCCCGGCCTGGCCGCCGCCCTTGGGCCCTCCCGTGCCGCCCAGAGGGGCCAGGAATGTGAGAGCTGTGGGCGGGGACGCGCTCCCCGGGGGTGGCGCCGCTTCTGCTGCGGCGGGGGCAGGGGTAGAGTTGAGTCGAGCCGCTCGGGGGAGCTGAAGCCTCGTTTGTCGGCGGGAACGGCTTCATGGCAGTTGCCGGAGTAACAAGTTTTGTTTCTGTCCTGGTTTAAGGCAAATTTGGGAGAAAGCCTCCAAGGGGGGCCCCTCCAGAAAGGAAACCTACACGGCTCCTCCCCCCAACCGGTTCGGGAAAGATTCCTCGGAGGGAAGTGGAAAGAACCTGTTTATTTTACAGGCACAGCACCCTCCAGCACACAACATGAACAATACCGGATGGCAACACTCTTTCACCGCTCTGAAGGAGATGACAGATTCAGAAAGTCTCTCTTGGCGGTGGTCGCTCTGTTCTCAGTCCCTCCGGTGGTGGGGCAGCTGCTACAGCCACAAGGTGCAAACTCTCGGTGTTCCCAGGTCCCAGTCCGGAGCAGGTTCGAGTAGTTCCAAAAAAGGGAAAGGAAAAACAGTCCAGGGAAAAATTCGGACTGCTAAACTAACTAATAAGCAGAAACAAAAAGCAAGAGCAAAGCGAAAAGCCAAGAAAAGCCGCACTATGTACTGCCCTGCCTGTGTGTCCCGCCAGCCACGGGGGAACAGCTGATAACAAAACCAAAACAAAACATTCGCTCTTCAGAGCCAGTCTTGAAGGCACGGAACATAATATCCAGCATAAGCAGAACACACGAATGGGGATACAAGCATCATAAGGTCACCTAGGACAGTTTCAGACAGAAACCGAACGCGGCGGCGGGAGGGAGCTCGGCGCCCCTCGTGCCGGGTGTGTCCCCACCGCGGGACCGTCCCCGCATCTGCGCTGGGAGACGCTGTGTCCGCAGGGAGCGACGGGCAGCGGGCAGTTCTCGTGGGCACTGCGAGGCTCTGCTCGGAGCAGCCGCTCCTGACACACCGCACAGTCAGTAAACAGAGTACTGTTTTTATAAACCCCTTAGAAGGGAAACTAAGTCAAGGTACTGTAAGTATTGTTAGTGCCACAGGGGTAAGAGAAATGAGACCTTTCTTCCAAACTTTAAAATATGAATTAGGAAAATGCTGAGTGATTTATCAGTTTCTCTGTTTGCCAAATTCTCCCAAGAAGGATCTATGGGAATTTTGTGAATGAATAGCAGATAGTCTAAGATGGTTTACTGTATTAAATTCTAAAACACCTTCTCCTGCATTCCTGCAAATAAGAAAAGCCTAGGACTCTCTGGTGTGAAGTGGAAGAATTCTAAAACAGGGAAAAAGAGCCAGCTGACCAAGACCATCCTGCCTGATGGTTTAAAAAACAGCCCAGTTCTATTCAGAAATCAGCTGGCAAAGGCTGGAGAAGGCAGCAGCTAAGAATTGCATTATCCAGCTAGAAGCCAAGAATTACTGCATCCAACAGTTGTATCCAACTCACTCTAAGTTTATTCTGTGATACTATTAATGATTCTTAATTTCCTACTAGCTGCAAAATTATTAGCTCTGTTATTGATCTTATGTAAATCAGAGTGACAAAATTAATAAGGATTTGGTTGAAATTTGAAAACAAACTGAAATTCTACATCAGGTAACCCTCAAAGGAGCTCACTAAACTTTGAATATGCCTTCAGTACACTCACTTCATGATTACCAAACTGGATAAAAGAAGTATTCATAGTAGCTGTAGTTATAGCTGGCATCTGCATGATGTGATGTTGTGATTAAATATGAAGTAGAGTTAGACAAAGGAGAGTCTTGTTACTGTCTAAAAAAGGGAGAAATTATGCTGTTTTTTTTTTTACCTTTTTTCCTCCACCATATTCACTGTATTCCTTATGCATGTACGGTATACAGTATAACTTCTTATTGTAACTTAGTTTCAGCATTTTTCTAGGCGGGAAGAAAAAACAAATTTCAGGATCCCTATGCTACCTTAGGTCTCCCTGGCTACTAAAGTTGAAAACAGCTCTTTGAGACACGTTTTCATTACCAAAGTACAGCAACTACCAAGGGGGGTCTCCAGAAAAGGGGCTTTACCCGAGAGGGAATTGCATCACCACTATTCCTCCCAATTTTCATTCTGATTTTTGTCAATTATGCTAATTTCCTAAAACCTATAAAACTGTATTCACCCCTGTGGGAGTGGGATTTTGTGGACATTTTTCCATAAATGCCTCTGGAGGCCTTCAAATACAGATCCACTTTTACATTACTTTCCCTGCTCATTTTATCTCAAAAGTGTGTTGTTTCATTTCTAGGTTGAAAAAGGCATCAGAACACCAAGCTGGATGGGAGTCTTGATCTGCTGTAGGGTAGGAAGGCTCTGCAGAGGGGTCTGGATGGCAGGGATTCATGGGCAGTGGCCAGTGGTATGAGGTTCAAAAAGACCCAAGGTCCTGCCCTTGGGTACAAGCACCTGTAGTGCTATAGGCTGGGGACAAGTGGCTGGAAAACTTGCCAGCAGAAAAGGACCTCAGGGTGCTGGTCAACAGCAAGCTGAACATGAGCCAGCAGTGAGCCCAGGTGGCCAAGAAGACCAGTGGCATCCTGGCTTGTTGCTTATTGCATCAGCAATAGCGTGGCCAGCAGGACCAAAGCAGTGATTGCCCTCCTGCAGCAGCACTGGGGAGGCCACAGCTCAAGTCCTGTGCTCAGCTCTGGGTCCCACATCACAAGAAGGACATTGAAGTGATGGAGCGAGTCCAGAGAAGGGCAGTGGAACTGGGGAAGGGTCTGGAGCACAAATCCTGTGAGGAGCAGCTGAGGGGGCTGGGGGTGTTTAGCCTGGAGAAAAGGAGGCTCAGGGGAGACCTGGTCCCTCTCTACAACTGCCTGAAAGGACAGTGTGTAGCCAGGTGGGCATCAGTCTGTTCTCCCAGAAAAAGGATGAGAGGAAACAGCCTCACGTTGTGCCAGGGGAGGTTGAGATTGGATGTGAGGAGAAATTCCCTCACTGAAAGACTGGTTAAGCATTAGAATGGGTGCCCTCTCACCAGGGAGGTGGTGGAGTCACCATCCCTGGAAGCATTCATAAAATAACAAGGTTGACTGTGGCACTTCACAATATGGTTCAGTGGGCAGGGTGGTGTTAGATCTAAGGTTGGACTTGATGATCTTGCATCCTTAATGATTCTGTCATTTATGTAAGCACACAGCTACTCTCTGAAAAGCACAGGTCCTGTTTTGCTCATCTTCCAGTCCTCTCCCCCCTATACAGTCAGAGCAGGTGTTAAACTCCCTGGGATGTGGACTAAAGCCCACCTCTGGGGTTAAGGTGGTTTATGCAGAGCTTTGACTCAGGACTAGGAAAAGCTGGCTAGTGCTACTCTGCCATAAATAAAGCTGGTATAAAGTTCCCTTAACTCCTCAGAGGATGGCAGGGAGCCAACGGCTCCTGTGGCTGTTACAGTAGACCCTCAGTGCCATTGGCTGGGGGACATGCAGTATCACAAATCCATGGGAAAGGCTCTCCCCAGATGACCTGAGAGACCAAGAGGGGATTACTGCCTCTGGGTAACAGGACTATCTCTAACACAAGCAAAGAGTGCCTTGGACTTGCCTTTTCCAACTCCATTTGGAACTGTCTTCCTGGGTGAGGGACTCTATTGTCAGTGCAGATGGAGGCCTAGGTGCCAGCAGCTGCAGTGGGAACAGGGGGCACAGGGGCCCATGGAGCTGCAGTGTGAGCAGAACACCCGTGGCTTGAATATGGATGTCTGTGTCATCACTTGCAAACACCAAAATGGAATTGCTGTAAAATAGAGTATTGGAAGACAGGTGTGAAAGCAGCTGAAAGTCTGGCCAGGCTACTGGAGGGGCCAGTGAGTCCAAGCTGCTGGAAAAAGTGTAGGATGTAGACCCTAAAGAATGAGAATTACCAAAACAACATGCACTTCATACCCTGGCACTCCATAACATGGAGCTCAGGACTACAGGAGCAGGTCCTGTAAAGCAGCAAAATTTCATCTCCCCTAGCATAAATGTACCATAAGTGGTATGGTATATTCAAATAGAGAAGACCAGCACTGATCCATTAGCTTTAAGTGATGGAGTGTGTAGATAAAGGCACCACAGAGGTGGTATTGAGTTTTGTTACCATGCAACTGTAAGCATGTTCTTAAAACACTTTCCTTATTTTGTTGTTATGTGAGTTTTATTGCCTTTGCTTGTTCCAAAGGTCATTTGTTGTTATCATTTTACCTGAGTGGGCACGTCTAATATTAACTAAAGACATAACAGGAGTTAAATGGGCAGTTAACAGGCAGACAAAGCATTATATTACAGTGCACATCCAAGTTCCTGCCACTTGGAACACAGACAACATTTTAATCTGATCACTGCCAGAGCTTTGCTCCCATTATCTATAAGGAAGTACAAAAGAATTTAAGGCACGTGTGACCTGCTCTCTTCAAGTAACAGCGATGCTAGAGAGATCATGCAGAGAGCTTGGCTTCAATTGCTGTTCCTTGACAAGTCTTGTTTCCTTCACGATATAAAATTGAAATACAGTATAAAAATACATCTTTTCAAAGGGTCCAATAGTTCCAAGTCAAATTTCAATATTATAATGCTGTAATATTTAAGATTGAGGTACATTAAGAGTGCAACTTCTGCTGGAGTTTCTTCAGGATCCCAAATTCAGTACAAGAGAGAGACACATATTTTCCTGTTGCTTCCCTAGACAGGCTGCACTTTAGGTTAAAACAGTTTTGCTTAATGTCTTCCACAAGACATGTAATCCAGAGGTGTCATTACTGATACCCTGGTTCCTCTGACTGCAGGAGAGTGAGTGGGATTTCCATGATTTACAAACACTCCTTGAATACAGCTTTTACAGTTGAGAATCAGTTTCAACTTCCTTTTCATTGCTGTCTTGATCCTTCTTGTCTTCTTCCTTTTCTTCCTTGCTGAACTGGGCTTCAATCTCATTTGGATCAATATAGGTATAAAAAGAAGCCATGATAGCAAAAATGATGCAAACTACCAACAGCAGGGCAGCAAACAGCACATACTCTGCCCACTGCAAAGAAAAAAAACCAAAAATACACAATTCAGAATTTAGCCACCAATATTCATTTCTCAAGAATATTACACCATTTTAGTATTTTCAGGAAGGAAACTCAGAATGTGAAACTGAGTAAACATAACAAGTATCATATGGCTTACAGGACTAAGTATTAATTAAACATATAATGCATGTTAAAGCAACTCGGAATTGAGGCTCTTTTGGCATTTCTATCTTCACTGAAAAATTCTGTAAATGCTGAAAAATTCTGCAATATCCTTTTCCTGGAGGAACTGGGAATTGAGTGAAAGACTGAGAAGGAAACTCAGGCCCTTGCTTTTGGTTCAGATCTCTAAACCAGGCTGGCACTGAGTCTGCTTCCACTTAAAAATTTTTACAGCTGACCTAGTAACCACAAATGTGGGCAGAGATCAGAAACTCTACCTGAAAAGCCTCAACATCTCTGTTTCATGCTCTTACTGATTTAATTTAGCTTATACTGTTACTCAATGTCTCTGAAACTGCCAGAGCTGTTTCAGAGACATTGAGTGACACAGAATGGCACTCAGAAAGCCATTTTAATTCATTACAGAGCACCACTAATAGCTGCTTTTTCCCAGTGTAATATAATAGCACACCTACTGCTTGCATGCTTACCTGCTCTTGGATTGCAGATACCCCAACCACGATAAGGACAATTATGTTACCAACAGCCACAGTCAGCAGCCATCCAGCCTGCAGCACTGACTTCATGTTAGACGGGGCCTGTAGGGACAGACATTTAACTTTTGCTGGTATCATTTATTTTCTGATGCATTTACTGCAGTCTTGACATTAGAAATTGCTAGAGAGCTAAACAGGTCCAGAGAAGGCTTTGAGGAACAAGAGACTACTAGCACACTAACTGTAACACCTTTTACTTACACACACCAAGTAACTAACAGGTGCACAGGTGTAATTTTACATCTCAGGAACACATGGCACACATGACATGAAGAAATCGAGTGCATCACCTAGCAAATCACACCTTACAACATTTCCATCACTGCAGTTTCTAGATTCAGAATGAAGAGAAGAAATACACACAGCTACTAAAGTGGACTCAAGAGATAAAGGAATTCAAAGTGTTGAATTATAACACTAATAAAAGCTAACAAAAAGGCTGTATGGAGTAAACTGGTGGGGAGATGAAGTGCCACTACTTCCTCATTTTATTTTTGAGAGCTCTCCAGGTTGGTTTTATTGCAGCAGTACAGTTGCACTTATTTTCAATAGATATTTACATGGGAGGACGAAATCTGAGGACTGGTAGTCAAGACTTCAAATGATATAACTCAGCATAGCTTCATGGAAAACACCAAGTCCTTGGTTAAACAGGGCCAACTTGCATCAGTCTAGACAGTCCTTCTAGGAGCTGTCAGGGACATAGGGGTCAGAGCAGCAGCACAGAACCAACACTTAAAAACAAGACATCATGGAAGATCTTAACTTGCACCACGGTTCTTACCTCAGGAAGAAGAATACCTACCTGTGAGTATGAAAATTCCAGCCCAGTGACAGAGAACAGTACTTCTGCACATGCAAGAAGAAAATACTGAGGGATCTGCCAAGCCATATGGACTGTACTTGGTGCAATATCTTCAAAGTACGTAACTTTAAGTATGCTAGCAAAACACTAGAAATTGCAAAAAGCATGTTAGGAACAGTAATAATGAGTTTGCACAGTTAAGGCATTCTAAGCAGTTCTATAATCATATAGAAAGTTCAGAGTAAATAACAAATATTGCACATGAAGCACTACATAGGTAGTTATAAAAATAGCTTTTTTACAGCAGACTTCATGCAAATCTGTAGTGTCTAACAGGGCTAAAGGTTTAAGGCCATTAGTGGTGATCAGGAATTCTTGCATTATGTTATTATTGTAACCATGATTATTTTTATAGTTAACAATGGCTTTTTGTCCTGTTTAGGATACCAGAATTCTACCATCTATACTTAAAGACAAGAGGAAATTAAAGGATTAAAGACAAGAAGAATAATTCTACAAATGTTTTTTAATTAAAGAAAAGCATCAGCATGGAAAGGAATTCTATCTATATTGTCCATTCAATACAGTGGCAACTCACATCGTCAAGTGAAATGGTATAGGCAACTCCATATTCAAGTATCTTGGAAGAAACTCTACAATAGGTCAGAGCCGTTGAGGCGCTAATGGTATATGGCCTGAAAAAGAAAAACCCAAACTCCACAGTTCAGACCATAGGTGCAGTCAATTGTGTGCATCACATATTTTAAAAAGCTCTGTGCCCTTTTCCCAAAGACAGGTATGTCTAGGAGATTAAATAAGAATAAAGGAAATGCTTACCAGCCTGCATTTGGAACGACGCTGTAATTACTGACAGAAAGAGGATCCAGTTTTCCAAATCTGATGTGATCCATAGCAACAGTGGTAGTTAAAGGCAAATTGTTTATGAACCTTTAAAATGGAAGAGTGATTAAATACTACACAAAACATACAGGAGTCAGAGAATACAGGTTTTACTTTCAATTATATATTCGCAGCACATATATCGAGTCTTCCCATTTAATGCCTTTTTTTTTAAAATCAATTAACATTTTGGAAAGAACTCTAAATCTCCTAGAAATGTAGCTAATACAAAAAGCCAGTAAGACCCCCATCAGCCTCAGGAGAACATCAAAAGCGAGTCACTACTACAACCAGTAGGAAATGCATCTGCAAGTGGGACGTGCAGAAGAAAAACAGAGAGGGGAGAGGTAATCTTGGATACCTCTTATCCAGGATTAAAAATGAGGTATAGATATGTAATCCATGCCATTTGTTCAATAAAAAAATCTAGGCAATGGAACGAAGTATACACTTCCAATTTTAGCTAAATTATACCCAAGCAGGTGTGCAAGATACTTAAGTGAATCATGACCCAGACATTATCCCATCCCCTAAAACATCAAGGGAAGTGTCCAGCAAGATGTGAGTTCCTAAAGTATAGAAAACTTTACTTCAACAAGAAGAGGCCACCCAGACCCAAGATTGAAGATTCACACTACTGTGAATCTTTTTCAAAAGATTCAAAAACAAAAAAGCTCTACCTGACGAGACATTCTCTGTTTGCTGGTTTTGATGTGATGTTGTCCTCTATCTAGTGGAAGAGACCATTATAAAAATATGCTGTTGGCATCAGAGAACAGGTTAAACATGCACTATTGCACAGCAGTGGGACTTAACAGAGGCTTCAGAGCAAGACTCCAGACCTTCCTCTTTAGGTTCCTACTAGCACACACATTTATTAGAAAACACTGTATGACCACACACCTAAGTCTTGGTGAAAGTGTAGTTGTCAAGGTACATAAGAAATTGGTATTTTTTTTTCTAAAGGACATCCTGGTGTACTCCCTGCAGCTTACCAGTCTTACTGGTCCAGCAGAGACAAGGAGAGACAGAAAACAAGACAATGGAAAAAAATTATCCAGAGCTTGTCCTCTCAGCCTCACACGCTCCACATAGATGCTTATCAGAACATTGATTCATGTCTTAAAAAATAAGCAGACTTACCCAAGTAGAACTGATGTGTGTTGGACCTTGTTTAAATGCCAAAGTGTAGCGTTGTCTCTCTAGCAGCTCCAAATGCTCAGTTTTATTTTCATTTGCAGAAATTATGTCTAATGATTGCAGCTTAGAAGTCTCAAATGTCATGTAGCCAGTCTGCAAAGACAAACAAATTCCCATGGATTTCTGTGCAACTGCATATTTGTCTATTGAGGGAATGTTATGGGCTCTGGGAGGGTCAGAAGTTTACACATGTTACTTCTGAAGTGCCAGAGATCATGAACATCCCCTCACTAGCATTTTTGATTTGTTTTCTACATCAAGCATTAATTCCATTTGATCATGATTTTTTATTAGGTTAATTTGTTACACAAGCTTCAAAGTTACATGAGCTTCCCACAAGCATTATGGAATAGCTGCTCTATTTTCCTATTTCTTGCTCCAGATAAATCAGGCTTACCATAACCACCCAGTAAAATTCTGTTCAGCAACAGAAGAATCACTAGCATAAGACCTGATGCAGTATTTTCCAAAAAGCAGTAATGCCATGTTTTAAATATTCAAAACGCATTTATTCAACATAAAATACTTAAACCATTAATAGACATGTTAGCGCTACACTAAAATAGGATCTTTGTTTTATAGGATTATCAAAAGCACTTTATAATCCACATCTGGATGATGAAGTGTCTGTAATAGGGAATGGAGCATTCTATACCTTTCATTTTCAGGTGTGTACCATGGTACATCAGTTCCCTGTCAGTATACAGTTTGGGTGCCCTTATCTTCTCCTCACAACTCTGTTCCTGTGTGAAGTGAATTTGGAGGAGGTTGGAGTAAGATCTCTCCTCTTCAAGGGAAACAGAGCTGCAGGCTATGAGAGAACACACTTTCTAAGTTCCCTTATCAAAAGCCTGCATCAGAGCCACCACATTTTGCTGTCAATAGAACTACCAATGCTGTGCTGTATTAGAACCTGAAAAAGTTCTTTGGCAGCAAAACATGAAGCCTAATGTGTGATGTGGCCACAGAAGAAGCTCCCTGTTCAGGTAAGTCATTGCTCACAGTAATAGCAGCAACTCACTAGAGTTGAATGGACATTGACTGCAGGAAAGGGCTACTTTTAGAAAATGGAGCCTTTTTAACAAGAGTGAAATTTTCATCATGTTCCAAGTTACTTAAGTTTATGAAAGTTTCTTGGGAAAACTTGTAAAAAGAAACTGGTAATACTTCAAACATTGACATAGTTACCATTTCTTCATTCACTGTGCTTTCAGTAACAATTCATTCCACAATACAAAAAAAAAAAAAGAACTCATTGAAATTATTGGAGTAAAACGTCCTAGAAAATAATCAATTTTGAACCATTAGTTAAGAATGACTTTGTTTTACTCCATGTACTAATTCAAAAACAAACCAGTTGGAGATTCCAAGTCAGAACTACAATTTAATAGGAAAGCTAAAATAAAGGCAATAGTACAAAAGCATTGGCTTAAACTGACAGAACCAGAATTGGATCTGACATCCTGTCAGTCAGGTTGGTGTAGCAATCTGATTAAATGGTAGCTACAGTCATTGTTGGAGTGATGGATGGGATTCTGTCTAAGTGGTGATCCTGTAGAAAGGTCTGGTCTTACTGGAGGTCCTGTGGTAGTTATCAAGCTCTTGTCCTCAGGGAATCCAGTGCTTCTTGGGGTGTTCTGAGCCTCTGATTACACCCAGGTGGAAATGCTTGGTTCCTCCATCTCGGCAGAGCATTTCACAATGGTGTGATGTAATTTTATGAGTCATGCAGTGAGACTCAGTGGCCCATTAGCAGAGATAGCCCCTGGGGGGAGTTATCAGGACTGACTTGTGGAGAAGATAAAGAACACCTCCCCACGTGTTTTAACAGCTTATGAGGATGGTAATAGAATACAGACTTTCAGTTACATGTTACATTGTAACCTAAAAAAAAATCCCTTAGATTTTTTTAGTTTTAATTAATTTTTATTATTTATTAGAATGTTTCTCATCTGCCCTTACTTACCGCCTCTTTAGGTGCTACATCCACACTCTGAAGTTGAGGTTGGAACTGAACTGTTGCAGGAACAGCACCCAGATTTATTAATTTAATTTGAGTTTGCCCAGCTGCAGGGAAAACTTGATAGGTTTTCTATAGGACAGGAAAAAAGTAAAATCAGTACTCAAGGTCACTTGGAAAAATTACTATAATTACTGTAATCTTTATTATTTCATGTTGAAGATGAGCATTTGCCTGCTGGTCTGTGACTGCCTGACAGAGGAGACTGGAATCAGGTTTTGTTACTCGTCTCACAAGGTGCCTTAGGAAAGAATTCTCTCATGCTCAACAGACACCTCTAGACAGCTGCTCAGATCTTGGGATGCAATGGATCACCACCCAGAGGTGTTGCCAACATCCCAGCTACAGGGGAAAGATTCATTGGGCTCAGGCATGGCACCTCCCTTTGGGGCAAGGAAGATTAGGGGAGACAAATCCTTCCTTGAGCAAGTGTGCATCCATCACCTTTGCACCTGCTGTGATGCTGCTTCCCAGACTGTCACACTTCACCTCCAGCCTAAATCTCAGAAGAGGTCAAACATACAAAGCTGCCCTCTGGTGGGCCAAGCAAGTGTCTGGTTTCCAGCTTTTAGTCTCAGTTTAGAGATTGAGGTTGCCTTTAATGCATGATTTGTATTAACTGCAATGTGATGTCTTGCAGAATGGTGTTTGTTGCTTGTTAATTTTACTATGCTAACAACAGTACTGCAATCTATTTCCCCTCCCTCTACTTCTATGCTTATGTGATTGGATCCAAATTTAGGAATCTTGGCACATTTTCCCCTTAAACACACCTTTTTTTTTCCTGAATTACCAGCTAAATATTAATAGTAAATACTTGCATGTGGCTGAACTTACATCTATTTGCACTTGCACGAGGGCAGCAGCAACAAAAGCCATGGAGCCGAGGAACATCCCCACAGTCATCTTCTTCAGGGGCCTGGCATAAAAAAAGACACAAGAGATTTAAGAGAAGTGGCAATTCAAAGCTTCAACTGCTTGTTTTTTCTTTCCACTCTGGGAAATTCAAATGGCCACAACTAGCACATAATCACCATTTGGAGGGCTGATGTTATTACAGAAAGTCTTCTGCTAAGCTCTCAATTCATAGTTACACTATCAAGAAATACATCTTTCCTGCAGCATCCTAATAACCTGTTACTCTGCATCTGCTGGGCTCAAACATTGACTGACCATGTTTCTTAGGTTCCTGAAAAAAATCTGGTTTTGAGGAAGAAAAAACCCAATCCAATACAGTTGTTAGCTGTAAAACAAGAAAGAGACAAGAAGATATGCCTTTAAAAACAGGGTGATAGCTTGTCTCCATATTGCTATGTTTAAATAATCTTGAACAAAAATTGTCTGGGAAATTTGTTGAATTAGGAGACATCTACTGGCATGTAGTTAAGCTGTAAGGATAGATTTAGAGAATATATGTCATTTGTAGCATCATTTATCCAGTGCAGAACACCCACAACTGATGACAGTGTTCCCAGCATAGCACACACCCTAGATTTTTAGGGTTAAAACTAGGGTTTAACTAGGGTTTAGCTATATGGAAAACAGCAGTACACTTTAGCCTTCTGAAAATTATCTGAAGAACTGTATTCTCTTCTGCCTCTCCAAGCACCCTTGCAACAGCCAGAAACTTCATTAACAACATTGAAAAATAATGTGTAATACCCCCAAGGCTCCACCTAGAAGGATTCAGTAAGCCAGACTCCCAGCTGAGACTGAAGAGGAACTGTCTTGTGTCTCAGTTGATTTTAGCCCAAAGCATGAAAAATGCCAAGGATGAATGTTTATTTCTACCACCTGTTCTTCAGGAGAGAGAGGGGGTAGACATAAGAGATAGGGAAAACAATCAAAAGCATCTCTCCTGCAATCAAAAGATTTTGTCCTTAACTGAAAAACATTGTCACTCTTCTCTTAGATTCTGCTCTTATAATCTCTGATGCTTCTATATACCATTTGCACTATTCTGGTTTTTTTTTATATTTTGTTAGAATATTAAACCATTTGAAATACACTTCTCTTTCATCCTTATCTAAATGCTTGCTCTTTTCTTACACTAGGGCTGGAAGAGCCAGTTACAGAAACCAATAAAAGGAGCCTCTGTTGAAATCAGATAATAACATCAACTTACGTAAAATTCAGCTTGCATTTCTTGATTAAAGGATAAACCAAATAATTAGCAACTGGGATAATGATAACAATCAGGATTGGCTTCACAATCTGGGGAAGATGAACATGAGAGAAAAATTAAGTATTTTTCAAAGTGCATTTTCTTAGTAAGGGCAATATATGTACAATCTTTCAGAAGTACTTGAAATTGGCAGATAGAAAATTAACATACCTGCATTTGTTCTGGTTGAATTTGAAAACCCTGGTGAAGAAAGAAAGAAATAATTTTTAATATTGTGACAACAAATAAAACGGGTCTGAAAAGTGTTAAAGAAAAAAAATGAATAAAAAGTAACCTACAAAATCCCCATTCATGGCTGTGGCTTGCAGTGTCCATCTTGACCCCTTAATAAGAGAAGAAAAAAATTAGGTGTCACAGTAAATCAATGTTCTAAAGGTCCTTTTGAATTGTTTTCCTAAGTGAAGTGTTGGAAAAGACATGCAATACAAGAAAAAGTAAAGCTAGCTTGCTATGGGAGCATTCTTAGTCTGCAATGTAAACCTTTGAACAAAGTGAGACCCATGGCCCATTCCACTTCCTTTACTTGTTTTGTGAAATACAGCAGAAAATAACTTAGATGCAGAAATCAGCTGCAGAGAGGGCAGAGCCATCCTGTGCAGGGCACTGCTGGGTGCTGGGCACAGGAGCCACCCTGGAGCCAGCCTGAGCCCCAGCAGCCCCCATATCCCACTCAGCCATCCTTCCTTCCTTCCCAGAGCCAGAGGACAAGCCAGGGCCTGACCTGCCTGGAGCCCTCTGCCCCAGAAACTGCCTGTGGCTGGGACAGGCGGGGCAGGCTTCAGGCCTGAGCCCAGCATGGGACAAGAACGCTACTGCTGCATCTGTGACAAGATCCTTCAGCCACCCACGGAGATATTACCCAGGGAATGAGTACTGTGCTCTGAATTTCATAGCAGGAATTCAGAGCTCCAATTGCAACAGGACACACTGGCAGCTCCAGCTCACGGGCACTGGACTGAAGCACTAGGACATGGGGAGTCTGGAGCAAGCTTCCTCCAGTCTGACTTGGATAAGGTTTTCAGCCCCTGGCTCTCTCAAGCATCTTCCGAAATTCCCACTTCAGTGCTTAACTATAACTGATGCTTTTGTGAGTCTTGAGCACCCAGTTCACCAAGTGAATGGGAATTACAGGCTCACACTTCTGCTTGAAGGTCTAAGGTATTTATAACAAGCTGTGAGTGATTAAGCAAACTGGCATCCAGATCATTTAAACCCTGGTTCTCCAGCTCATTTACACAAGGACCCTAAATTTCATCTGACAATTGACAATTGAAGAAACCTTAGTGCTGAGAGAGCTTTAAACTACTCTTTCATCCCCTGAGTCCCAGGCTGATAGAAGATTTGGAGAGGCCTCAGTCACTGAATCTGTCCTGGGTGTACTCAGATAAACCAAGATTGCCCCTGGCTGCAGATCCTCTTGTACTGACATGACTCAGTGACTACCCTTTTGCAATAAAACCAGAATAAAAAATTTGGTTTTCCACACTCCCATAGAGACTGACTTGGTACCCCTCTAGTTACCAAGCCAAACAGTTTCTACTTACCTGCTGGTCAAAAACTGCCCAGAACATGGGGAGAGGGATGTAAAGGAAAAGTACCCTCAACACCATCTTTATCTGAGCAATCAGTCGTTTCTGCAGAAAATAAAAATTACACAAGAGGAATTAATTTAAAAAAGAAAGGGGAGAAAGAAAAAAAAAAAAGAGACAGTTCCAGACTGCTACTCACATGACAGCAACAGGTAAAGACCCATCATGTAATGTTTACCCACACATTCAACTTTGCATGTTGTGGCTATATCTGATGACTTCTGTTAAAACAGTACAAAGTCTGCTTGTGTGGGAAGGGCTGCTGGTTAAAGGTGTCTGATATCAGAAAGACTTGGGCCTCTTTACATGTACACTGATGGCAGCATGAGATTCAGCACTTAGTGAAGTGGGCATTTGAGCAATAGGCAACTGAGGAATTTCACAGAAGAACAAAGCATACAGGCAAAAGGAAAATAAAGGTGACAGGCTAAGGTTTGTGCTGGCGTTGGCAACAGGGCAGAGAGGATAGTAGGCAAGGGACAAGTTGGGAACTATGGGATACAAGGCTTTGAGAGTCATGATAAGAAATTGTACTGAGTGTGGAAGGGATGCAGTTTAAGTGTTTACCTACTTAAACTGAAATTCCAAAGCATAATTCTGATGTTTCATACCAAGAAAAGTATTATGGCCCTGTGCATTAACAATGACAGGCAGCATCACTTCCCTTTTCCTCTCTGCAGCCATGAGATATGGGAAATAGAGAAGGAAAGATAATGCTTGCTATTTCCCTAACCTAAAAACTTAAATGTTTCTATTTGTTTGGCAAGGGAAAGTCTTTTTTTTGTCTCCCTTCAATTTCCCTGGACAGCCTATGATTGCACAAAGCATTGAGTCACACAGCTCTACTTTCTCCCACAGGAGCTGAGGAGATAACCTGCAGTGCCAGGAGAGCACTGAGGATTGGCCACATCAGCTACTGAATGATGGAGAGGCCCAAAACTATTTGCCCAGTGCATGAGGCAATGGATCAGAGCAGCCAGAGAGAAGCTGAGGGTCAGCAGATGCCACAGCACAGGAGGCTCCCCCAGTACTTACATCGTACTTGTCACTTGCCCAGTCCAGCCAGTGCTCTCTCTTGGGGAACCTCTTGCTGCGATGACGAAACCTGTTTTTGATGGCAAACTGAGGAGAGATAGAATTATGTTTCATGGCACTACAAATACTTGAAACTACAAACTGGTTTGTCATTAGAGATGATGCTCTTGGCTTCTTGTGTTTAGAGGGTGCTAAAGGTGACTCGACTTCTGTTACCCACTCCAGTCATCTAGGGGATTGTTGTTTTTAAGGCCTCACACTGCATAACCAGCAGAGCATGCACTTGGGGTTAGGTGGACCAAACAGCTCAGAGCAGTCCCTCTCCATGTGCGTTGCTGTGAGGAGCTGGAAGATCTGCCTTCTTCAGGCTTACTTTTATAAACAGCAGTAAACAGAGTAGTGTCATATGCACAGGTTTTCAGAGCTGCATAGCTGTAGGAGAGAAGCTCCTATAACAAGCTCCATCTTGTCTCATCAATGTCTCACCCCTTGACATTGAATATACACAAATATGGTCCCAAAGAACTCCTAAGATTTTCTGCATGGAATAGCATTTGCAGCCAAGCTGGGCCTTAGAAGCCACATGCTAAGTAATGGCCAAAGTCACCTACAGAGATTTGGTTTTGACAGTGCTTACATGACAGGCAATAGGCTGAGCTGTATAAAGATGGCAGATCTGTAGGCGTGTGTTGATTTGGCATGGCCTGACTTTTAGTAGTGGGGGAGTGCCATAGCTTCCACCATGTCTGACAGAGCCACTCTCTGATAGCTCTGAAGATGGACACGCTGCTGGCCCAATTTGGGAGGTTGGTAATGCATCTGTGATGACATATTTAAGAAGAAAGAACAGAGCATGTGCAGTTTTTTGCTCAGAAGTGGGGAAGCGCCATGTTGGCACTGCCCACAGCAATACACCTTCAGCAATACCTTTAGATTTGAACCTGTTTTGCCTTTGGAGTGGTATTTTTTTTCCCCCAGTCCTTGTCTCAACTCATGAGCCCTTCTTTGATCTTTTTCCCTCTTCTTTGCCCAACTGTAGGAAAAAAAGCTAAGCAAATTACTCTCATGGGTGCCTGCCATTTCGCCAATGTCAAATCACAACAATGGAAAATGAAGAAACTCAGAGATGAATAAATATCATCTCAAACTTGAGGCTCTGCAAAGTTGGGACCTGCAGTGCTATTTGTGTAGATCCCACTCCTTTCCTTGCAGGATCACTCTGATGTGCAACCCCAAGAATTTCCTTAACACAGTGGGGATCAGTAAAAGCATTGTAAATAATCTTCTTCTAATAAGTAATAAGTTTTTGCTGATAAGATGCACTAGTAGCTCTGCTCTTAACTCAGCTCAAGCCATGTTTGTCTCTTTCTGCATAAAGGGGCACAAATGTGGAAGGAATGATTCCCACAAGTTGGGAGAAGTTCTTACATAACACTGACACCTTATTTTGTTTCCTATGTGTATAAATTCACATATAAATCAAGATATGCATAAAAAGACACCCTAAATGTGGAGGTGTCAGTACAAAGCCTTCTGTAATAAAGCAAAACCCTGCAGAAACTCTCCTCATATTAAGACAAATTTCTGATTTAGGCACGTTTACAGAACAGCTTTAGGAATGGCTGCCAGGGGTTTGGGGAATGTAAGCAGTACTTACTCCAACACATTTGGAAACTTCAAGCATTACATTTCCTTGTGGTTTAACTTTCTTGTACATTCTGCTTCCAATTACAAACACAACTGCAATATGCAAACAGAAAAGCAACTCAGGATTAAATTAAAATAGTGGCAAATAATCTGGTATGGAAACTGCAAGTCAAGGAGGTAATCAGGGTGGGAATAAGGCTCCCAAGAAGCAATGCAATTGCCTATTCACATGCTATCATACAGTAAGACCAATCAAATTAATACCAGCAGATTGCTTCTATTCAAGACAAAAAACTAAATCTGGAAAATCTTACAGTAAGTGCTCAGTGGGAGGTTTGCTCGACTGAGGGATGGTCAAAACGAGGGTATTTAGGACCTTGACCCTGGCCTTGCTGTAGGGGCTCCTTTTCAGAAGCTCATGATGCTGCAGCTCACATCATGCAGGGACACACAAGGCTCTGCCTGAACTGCTGGACTGGCCAAGGTGTCCCCTGCTCCCAGGCACGTTGCTCAGCCTCATCATCCCACACACAGGGCAGGACACAGGCAAAGCCCAACAGCCACCATCCAGCCTGGGCTGGGCTCACGGGCAAGGCGAGGTCACTGGGAGCCAGGTGGGCTCCCAGTCAGGACCAGGAAGGACAAGGACCATAAGGGATACTGTAGTACCTAATGGCACCCCCAGTTTCTTGGGCAACAGTAAGGCTCAGGGAATGCCCTATAGCACAGCTGGTAAAAATGCAGGTGTTTGAGAAGTACTGACATGTCAAATACGGGATTTCTCCAGCTCAAGGACTATTAGTCACAATTAGGTTATTATCCTGGACTAGAGATAATATCCAAAACACACATTTTCTGAGAGTTCTCACCCTACATTCTAAAGATCAATTTGTACACACCAGTAATCCAAGAAACACTGACAGTAATTCACATAATGGACAGAATTCAAGGAGATGTTCATGCCTCAGCCCACCCCCATCCAACTCTCCGGGCAAATCAGACTCTTCTATGAAAGTGAGTGCTTCAGATTAATCCCACCCATCTTCCCACCCAAGAAAAAAATTAAGTGAAAAATCACAGAAATGATCAGGTATTAGAGGTCAATACCTGGGAATTTCTATCACACTCCCATTATTCTGAGATTGTTATCATCTAATTACCAAGGCAACAGGATGGCAAGAGATTCACCTACCCAAGGCAACAGCCATGAGGATAGCAGGAACTCCAAAAGCGAGGGGGTAACATTCCTGTTTGCTATGAATGCCACACTGTGAAGCTGAAGTAAAAATAACATCAAATAAAAGTCCCAGTCAGCACTGCTGATGTTTCCCATATGGTTTCTGGTCTTTGCATTCACTGAAAACTCTCAAGGGAACAACAAATCAGTCCACAGACACCCTCAGAGTGGAGGATCAGTATCCAACTTATCTCTCATTATTGGAAAGGGGATTTATGTACCACAGAACAGCTCAGGTTGTTAGGGACCTCTGGGCATCATCCAGGCCAAGTGCCCTGCTCAACTAGGGCTACCTGGAAGCAATTGTCTAGGACTCTGTCCAGATGGCTTTTGAGTATTTCCACAGATGGAGACTCCGCAACCCCTCTGGGCAGCTTGTGCCAGTTGTTGATCAGCCTCAGAGTGCAAAAGCGTCTCCTGATCTTCAGAGGGAACCTCCTCTATTTCAGCTTCTGCCCATTCCCTCTTGACCTGACAGTGGGTACCACTGAGGAAAGCCTGGCTCTGTCCTCTTCATTTCCCATCAGGGATTTTTATACTTGGATAAAATGCCCCCTTTGCCTTCTCTTCTCCAGGCCAAACAGCCTAATGCCTCTCAGGATCTCCTCACAGGAAATTTACATCTAGTTTTACACTGAGACAAAGAATTACACTGCAAGGGTCAAAAGCATGTCCTTAGTGAGAAAGGAACTAGATTACAAAAGTTTTGGGCTAAGTTCATAAACAAAGATTCTAGTGATGTAAGTGTAGCTTGTTGAAACAAAATCACAATCACCAGCCCCCTCCCCTCCTTGGCATTAGTCACAGATTTGACTCTCACTGACTTCAGCACTATAAAATAAAAGACTAAACAAAATCATTACATTCTTCACCATACTTCTTCTAAGAGGAGAATTAGATAATATGGTTGGGAAAAAATGGTAGCTTGCAGATAATTCATGTCTTGATTTAGTTGTATAAGTCTTCTGGTCAAACCTTTCCAGGCAGAAACTGGTTATCGATTCCCTTATCTCATTTTGTCATCTTTTCCCAGGGAATTTTTCACCCTGAATCAGCAAGGAAGTAAGCTACATGCTGTGCCTCATGCATCTCTATTTCCTCTTTTGGGAAAGGATAGAATTTGCTTTAAGCAAACACCTAAAACTCTTCTACAGAGTCTTTTCCAGTCAAGAAATCCAAAGGCCAGAAGTTCAGCCCGGTGCTTTTGGGGTATTCCAGAATTCACAGGCTGTTTCCTTGCTTTTGACAAAAGCAGCCTTGTGAAACTGCTGGCAAGTGCCTCCATACAACACCATCTGTGCAAGCTTGCCACAGAAATCCATATGCATATAGGTTAGCAAAATGCTGGGTTTTGTTTAGGATCATGCTATTCTTCACAAGCAAAAGAGAACATAACTTTCTTATTTAACAATACGAAAAATTATTTACTTTGTCACATGGATCAATGTATTTCTACATGCAGAGATGCTTCTGTACTTAGCATGGGAACATTTCCAGAGCAGAAGGCTCTCTCTTCCCCTTCCTTTCCCAGGAAGCAATACAATTCTTTCAAGTGTGATACTTTCAAGGTATTGGAAGATGTGACACATTTGTACCTTAGTGGAATTAAAACGTGCAGTAGGCATACAAGCTGCTAGTTCCAGCATGTCTTTTCAGATCTAGTACTTCTGACCCTAAAGGCAATGAAGGTTTTCAACTGGCTTGTTTTTGAGAGTACCTCATCTCTGAGAAGCTGGATGACACTCTGAAGACTATTTGCTAGATAACTCCAGTGTGTCAGAGAACAAAACTTTAAATTAAACTGGACTGGACTGCAATCCAACACACCTTTTCTGGTGTTTAACAATTGTCAACAAACATGTGACCTTACCCATGAGCCATGGGATGACTATAGCAGATACGAAACTTGCAACAGCAGTGTTCTCATAAAAGTAAGAAAAGAACTTACTTCTTTGCTCTTCCTACAGTAAAAACAGAAAGATGTTTAGAAAGGCTTAGCCACAACCACATTGATGTGCCTAGATCAAAAAATCAGCGTCTCTGTTTTCAAAGTTCAAGACAAATAATTAGCAAGCTCCTTTTTCAGCTCCTGAGGAAAACCCATGCATCTATCTAAACATGTATAATATTAGAGTACTATAATAGTCAAACATTAGAGAATCTGTATAACTGAAAACCTGAAAGACATTGTTACCTGATCTTCTTCAAACTGATCTCCACCAAATGCTGACACACATGGTTTGATCCCACCAGTACCTAAGGCAATAAGGATCAAGCCAACCATGGACAGAGCACTGGAACAAAGGAGAAAAGGAAAAAAAATCATTTTGGGTTAGTTCTTACAGCATATATAATAGACTGGTTGAAAGACAGTTGAAATTCAACTAACATAAACTTAAATTTTCCAGTCCTTGACCATTCTAGGAAAAAAATGTGTGCAAGGCAACTCACATGTGCACTGCTACATTATCGGGAGAGCCATCCTGGTTGTGATCCGTCAGGTCATTTATGGAGCTCACAGTCAAGACTGCCTGCCCAATTATATAGACAATGGACAGGTAGAGAATGGTCCTGTTGTCAAGACAGGAGATACATTTTCTTAGATATCTTAACACACACACAGATAATTCCACAGCTAATGCAGACTTCTGCTTACTTTAAAGAGTCCTAGTAATGAAAAAAACTAACAGATACAATAAGTTATGGACTGAACTTGTCAGAAGCTACTATAAAAATCAGGTCACATGCCACAGCCACCGTATTCCTATTCTTTTTATTATTATTATTCTACGTAGCCTTTATTTAATTAAGCAAGGCATAATAACAAATGGATTCTACGGGTATCACTAAGTCACAGGAAAATACTTATATATCTTCAATGGTTGCCTTTCTAATGATCAAATCAAGAATTCCCTTTTCATATTTTTTATAAGCTGAAGATAAAATAGACTACTCTGCAAAACAAATCTGCAATTTACACTGATTTATTTCTCTGTGTTATTTTAGATTTCAGTTGCAGGAGTAAAGAGAAAAATCAAAAATCTGCTTCAAGCATGGCAATACCCCTGAAATACTGTTGTGAACAACAACTCTATAATGCCACCTTTTTCGCTGTAAGTCTACCAACATTTTTACACTCATATCTCAGTGAGAGCAGCTGAAGAATGCAGGCTGTCAGCCTGACTACCTGGGCCAGGAGGTACCTAGAAAATAGTACTGCATAATCACCAGCCCTCCCCTTTTTATTGTCCAATCCTCTTTTCTGTAAGTAAAGGAATGTTCCTTTTTAAGTACATGGCTGAAGTTTAACCCATGTTCACTTGTTTCCTAAGGTGGGCCTCCCTTCAATAGGCACAGACACGGGTCTCCAGGTTGGAGGAAAAGCAGGAGAAACACAATGCAATGATGTGAAATTATTTACAAACCCAGCTTTCAGGAGTAGTCCCAAACCTAGTGCAAGGCAGTAGAATGAAGGACAATGCTCAAAGACCAAGAACAATCCAACTATTTGACATAGGCAAGAGATCCTCACAGCAAGCTTGGAGCAGTGCCCTGACATAAGAGAGAGAAATTGACCAAGTTCCCCTCACTTTAAAACAAGGTTTCTCTGACTTAAAATTGACGTTGCCTGTAGCAGAGAAAAAAAATACATAAAGTTGGGCAACGTGGAGTTGGCTGTTTGGTGGTATTTAAAAGATGGAGTTTAATGGGTTTGGTTTTTAATTGCGCTTCTATAGAGTTACTTTACCTAACAACCTGGGAAAAAGTCTCCAATTAAAGTTGAAACTGAGCTGATCAGGAGTGAAACTTCTGGGTTTTATTTGTGAGGGTTACAAACCCACTGCAAAGACTTACATAATTGGCACTGCATTGATGGCAGACAATAAAAAAATAACTGTGGGTTCTGTACTATTTTCCCCAAGAAATTCACATCCAACCATCTGTGAGCTGGTCCCATCACACTTCTTGACAGATATTGCACCAAGTACATGGTCTGTGGACAATTGGAACCTCTACTTTAGGGGTCCTTAACAGTGCCTAGGTTATCTCCCTCTTGACATCACAGATTTTTTTAAAAAATTCTTGTTTAAGCCTTCCTCATGACACCTTGCTGCATTTTTGGGTGTTAATACCTAATGGCATATCCTAAAGCATGTTTTCCCTTGATAAGCCATCCTAACAAGCTCCTGTTAAAGGTCTGGGCCTTTCAGGTGCAGCACAGGCATATCCAAGTGCCAAAGGAGAAGAGATGCAAGGTCTGCAAAGTTTCATCTTGATAAAACACGAAAAAGCCAAAATAAATTTTAAAAATAATCCACAGCATCTAGACAAGCAAGTGCACAATATATTTAGGCTGCAATCTCTAAGACATCCAGCTAGTTACAGTGAGTTTGCACTGCTCAGAGCAGCTGCACAGAGCACACAGGGCTGTGGTCGCAGCCCTGGGCTCCCAGGGGCTGTCCCTACAGTGGAAGAAGACAGTGCAGCTGACTGCACAGCACATCTCCAATATCTGGGAGACCTTTGGCAAGTCCGCTCACATGCATGGCTCATAACCCTCCATAAAATCTTTACTGTGCTTTCTCTCAGGCAAAGTAAGAGGGAGATAAAGCTGTTGGAAATAACCTGGTTGCATTTCGAAGCACTGCAGTGGTACTATCCTGACCAACCAGACTGCAGCTAAAGACACTAAAGACATCATTTAGAGAAAGAATTGCTACTCTGTAAGACCCCCTCACTGATCTGTCAATTCTGAAATCACATAGTATTTAAAACTTATTCTCAGGCCCAGTTAACACCAGACAACACAGTAATTCACTATTTCATTGGCCACTTGTAACAGGTAGATAGACTGTCCTACTTAATTATAATCCCCAGTATCTATTTTCAGAGCTTGGTGAATACTCTCTTTAGTTTTGCTTACGTTTTGCCCAGGTGAGAGGAAAAACATGCAGCATGCTGGGAAAGCATGTTACCAGCCTTAACCAACTAGCAGATCTGGAACATTTGTTAATTCACAGTGCAGTTTCAAGTCTGAGCTGAATCAGTGAAAACCTCAAGCTTTGCTGAAATAAAACAAACTATCCTGGAGTAGGCAACACCAGCTCTGAAGCTGTTGTTCACAGCTGCAGTTTTAGGTGATGATTTAAGTAATACTGGTTTCAGGTGAGCTTTCAAGATCTTTGGCTGCTTTCTGAGGAAGCACTCACTTAAACTTTCCCAGCCAAGAGTCTGCAATGATGGCTCCAAGGATCGGTGTCAAATAACACAGAGCAACAAATGTGTGGTAGATGGTAGCAGTGAAGCTGACGTCCCAGCTCAGGAAATTTTTGCAATATATAATGAGCACACCTGTAGGAAGAACATCAAAACAACAGGTTACAAATCCAAGTCAGGCCTGGGCAATGCTCAGCGCAAGGAGACAAGGGACATACCTGCTGTGACAAAGAAGGAGAACCGCTCGAAGAAGTCACTGTTGATGATGAAGGTGGCTCCCAAAGGGAAGCGAGAGCGGGGCCTCTGGAGGCAAGAGACAATGTGAGCTCAGAGCTGTGCAACCCAGACTAACAATCTTCACTGCAACCCACAGCTCAAGCAAGCTCAGCATGGACTCAGTGGGAGTGGTAGGTACTCAGGGTCTGTACACTAAACAGGCTTCTGTGGGATGACAGTAGTTTACCTGAACCAAGAGTCAGTTTACCTGAACCAAGAGCCAGTTGTCACTTTCCTCTCTTGGTCCCCAGAGGTCTGCACACCTCTCATTTTGCAAGGGACCTTTAGCAATGCTAGAAATGACCTACAAGTGTTGCACTATGCACCTTTGAGGTCTCCAGCACCTAACCCTTACAGCAATCTTGACTGGTATCTAAAAATATGCAAAAATGTTTCTGGAAAAACAAAAAATCAAACCCCAAGGCCAACCAAAAATGCACCAAATCCCTGCAGGATACCAGTTAGAAGCTCAGGGCTATTTTTAAGCACCTGTGATTAAAACAAATACACATTTAAACTTTTCATTCAGGCAAATCCCTGAGGAAAACTACCCATCCTTAAAAATACTCTGCCTGATGAAGAATCCTTCATTTCTTCAGACCTGATAACCAAACAGACTTTATTCCTAACCTGAATTGACATGGCTTTGGCTGCCAGGTTCACTGAGCCTTCACCTGCTGCAACAGGCTTGTCCATGGTCATCATCATGCAGTTCTTGCCATTGAACCAATGCTTTAAAAGCATACATCAGTACATGTACCAATGCTTTAAAAGCATACATCAGTACAAATCTGACATGGTCCCTAGAACTGCAACTTTAATTTCTGATCACTTACTTGTCTTCACAGAGTGGATGAATATATAATTTCTAAAAAAATGAGTGGGGATGCAATTTAAACATAATCCTACCTTTTAATCTTTTTATGGGTTTAACCCTGCAAGTAGCAAAGAATCACATTTTAAAGACATTTCCACAGGCAAAGGAGTTCTTCTCCATGCCCAAGTTTATTTAAAAATGTCATTGTTTGGTTTGCAAAAGTTTAGGAATCCAACTAACCTTTAACTCATGTGAAACAGGAAGAAGTTAACTTTGCAGATCAAAAGGAAAAAACCTGAGACAGGGAAATCATGCCTGACACATGTAAATTGGAGAGACACTGTCTCCAGCAAAGTCTCAACAAACAACACAACACTTGGAGACTTGGGTGCTACAACAGGCTTTTTTTGGGAATCCTACAAAAGAAATGAAAACAAGAGAGTGGCAGGAGCATTGTTGCCTGAACTGACTCAGTCGTGAGGATGCCTGAGCAGCCTGAGCAGCGTTGACCTTCGTTGTTTGCAGAACCAAGTACATACTGCATATCCTCCCCGTGGTCACAGCATTCCCCTAAGCCATGCAAATGGTCACAGGATGGAGAATCACACACTGAAGTTTTGCTTCAGCACATGTTAAGTTGGTTACTGAAACCCAGGCTCTGTGACTTGTAATTGGGAATAGCCCAGGTGGAGAGGAGGCAGTGTCTGCTCCTGAAGCAGAACAAAGACCTGCCCATGTCTTTTCTTGCCTACAGAGGAAAAGACAAAGCAGTCCTGGCCCAGGAACTGGTGGGACCCATCTCCACCTGAATTTTACAAAAGCTCACTAAAATCTTTTGACCACTTGGGGTTCTCACAAACCTCTCCAGTGTTTTGCTATGGAATATTAATCCCAGTATTTCCGGGTGGGACGTGCCTGGCCTTGTCTGACCCTCGCTGCTGGGCCAAAGGCGGCAGCTGTGGTGTTTCACCTCAGAGACACCTTTGGCCGGCTGGGTGCTGCAGCTGGGCACTCAGAACAAACCCAGGCATAGTAGGAACTCAGTTTACCTCTGGTGGAAAAGGTTCAGTCGATGGTGAAAAGAAACAGGAGAGGATTCTATCGCAGCGTTTTAATCCAGAGTTTCATTCCAGGATGACAGACCTCTGAATGCGGTAACAGCTCCCAACAGAATGCTGACCACATGGTCCCATCTCCTTTTAAGCCCGGGGACCAGGAGAGGGGACGGGACAGGCGAGGCACCAACCAGGTGTGAGGAGGGGAAGGCTCAAGGGATACAGACGCTTGGACAGGCCAATGAGCCCAGACCTGAGGGGCATCTTTGGAACTTCTGCCAACCACACCACGACCCTGCTGGAATGTTAAGATTGATGGACAGCTCTCAGCAGGAGGGCAAAGGGGGAGGGGAAAGGAGAGGTGGGCACACCTGAGGGGATGGGATAGGCGAAACAGGAAATGGCGTCACACTGCAACATTTTGCCATCACCCTACACAAGACCTTATTCTTTAGGAGGGTGTTACATGCTGGTCTGGGGAGGTCACAAGCAGCAAGGCTCGATTTTTGTTTCAAGCCACCACTGCTTCTGTGCCTGGTGGAGCTGTCCTGCACTCCCATGCTGGCACAGCAGCCACTGCTGGGTTTTTTAGTGGCTGCTCCAAACTGGAGGGGGTCTGCATGTCACAGCTGGAGCTGAGCATGGACAGGGCCATGCAAGAGAAAGCTTCTGGGTCTTTCCCAGGTGACAGACCTTCTGTTTTTCCAAGTTGATACAGGCAGGCGACTGTACAATTAATCTTTGCTAATATATAATGCGTGCTTGTCCTTGTTTTGCACCATACTGTCCTCTATTACAGTATTCATGTGCCCATACACACATCTACCAAAACCTTTTCTGTTGTTACCCTCATTGGTCAGGAAGCATCAGATCCACCACCAAAAGGTAACCTGAAGGTTTTATATGTTTTATAATCCCCTCTGTAACCTCACCCTGCCCTGGGGATGCCACCATCCTACTGCAGAGCTCTGACTTTGTCTGCTGAGGGAAAGTCTGTGGAGTAAAATCTTGTAAGGTAAGAAATACAAAGGCAGAGCTAGGGTTCCTGAGACACATGTCCTTAACAGTTCAAAGATTCAGGGTGGTTAGCAAATTAATGCTTAGCTAGAATTTAATAAGTTACTAGGCTGCTTTTGCACATTTGTCAGTAAGTCTTTATTGTATACCTTTATTGTATGTTTATAATGATGATTTTTATTTTGGGCACTGCTAACATTACCATAACAATGTAACCCAAAGAGAATCATTAGAGCAACTTTTTTTGTGGGAAAATAATACTTACCGACTGCTGTGAAATTCTTCCTCCTGTGGAGGGAAAAAACCAAAATACTAGTTAATTGCAACTAATAATACTCCCTTAAAATCAATGGAAGATACAAAAAAGGTTCAACTCAAAAAAAAGAATGAAATACAAACACAGTACTGGTCAGGGTGATTAAATTTCCAGTTTATTAAAGGGAGACTATTCATACTTATTAGGCAAAACTTCACTTGACAGCCTTTGGTTCTTCAGAGTGTGCATGAATTCCTACACTCCCAGGAGAGGCCCAAAAGGACTGAGGAGGCAAAGCATCCCATGGCTGCTCACCACACATCGTTCAAGGGGGTGGTAAACCAGCCATCCACAGATGATGAGTTCTGTAATGACTCACTCTTGGGGATGTTACCTTAAAGGCAAGTCAAGATTAAAGAATAGGCTCGAGATGCCCTGCCAGGCATGGAGGTCAAGTCCTGGAAAGGGATTTATAGAGGACTGAATATAAAGCCCCAAGTGAGTGATCCACTTTAGCAGGCACTCCCATAACCTGAACCCTTAACCTGGGAAGACCTGAAAGAGCAGAGGGGTCCCATTGAGGGCAGCAAGGGCAGACAGCTGCTTGCAGCCCTGAAGTCACTTCCAGCTGCTCTTGGCAGGCCTTCTACCCCTGGCAGCACTCCAAGTAGAGCCCTGCAGGGCTTCCCCAACTCAGGAGACAGGCTTGAAGGCTGAGCTTTCACTGTGTCAGATAAAGGCTCTGGGCCCACATAGGATTTCCACAAAGATTTTACATAAAACACATGAGCAAGCTCATTAAGATAAGAACAAGTACGAGATGTGAACTTTGAAATCCCTGCTTGTTAATCAAGTCTGGCCATAAAACATCTCTATAGGAAAAGTATATTTGTGAAAATCATTATTTATTCCACAATCCACAACAGACAAAAACAGTAAAATACTATAGCATTTGACACAATATTAAATCAAGTAATTTTCAGAAATCATTGAAAGAGATTATTCCAATTCTTTCCTTCACTGCTGTGGACAAGTACCTTCACAACAGAGATAGTTGCAAGTGATTCAGCTATGCAGGTGATTCAAGAATATATTTTCCTAGAGAACAAGCAACATTCTGAAAGTGGTAACACACCCATTTCATGGCACATGCAGGTACACGAGTGTTGGAATCCTGGATGATGAGTATATTTAACTTTCTGTGCCTAAAGGCACAGACCCACAAGAGAACACTTCATTTGATGTGAGGCTGTGGAGAAGGCTTCCAAAATTGATTGATAGCACTGGGATACAAGTTTGTAGTTGGTTAGAAGTGTGTAATATCACAGGGTGGAAAACTTAAGAGTTTGGGGTTTTAGAATATAGAAATAAATATGAGGTTTTGAGGAGGTTTTCGGATGGAGGCAGGTTGTTCGTCTTTACCTTCTTCTTCCTTCTTCTTCATGGGTTTGAGTGGTGTTTTTTAACTGGGCAGAAAAGTCTGCATTGTGGGCTTCGAGAGATCAGTTATTGGGGTAAAAGGGAAAATAATCTAGGTGTCCTTTCTTAATTTGATACTTTAGTCTTAAAAGGCCTTGTAACAAGAGATTGTTAGCCATTTTGTGCCTTGCTAATGAAAGGCTGCTGAACTCATGGCTGTGAGACTGTTTCACTGATAAGAAATAATAAATACCTGAGTCTGAACATGAACTATTGTCTCCGGTGCCTTCAATCCAGACCCAGAGAAACTGATACACGAGTTATTGAAGCTATTGGCAGTGTCCCTTCCACAACCCACCAGAGAAGATACACTGCAGGATACCAAGGTGTCAGCAATAGTCCATCTTCATATCAGCTCCTTGGTTATTTCCACTTGTTGGCCTTTCCAGCACATGTGCACCCCACTGCCAGCTTTTTTACAACATGCACTGACAAAAACAGCATGGGCAGCTGTTAAGTACTGCTGTTAATGTCTCTTAGCTAAGCCTTGGGAAAAAAATATTTAGGATCTGGTTCTTGCTTTGGTTTGGGTTTTTTTCTGCTTTCCTGATGGCAAAAGTATCACCTCTGCAAGAAACCTTACCCAGAGGACATCACAGAGGCATTTTTTTTCAGACAACATCATCTGACTTCAATGTTTAAGAGACACTATTATTTCTAAACATTTTGACTTCAACCCTCTATCCTTGTTTTGCAGAGCTGCTTGGGGAAACTCCAGATAGCATTAAAGCCAAGCTTTCAGCACAGGCACCTAAACTGAGGACTCCACTGTCAGGCAGCTTCAGGGTCTGACCTACAAAGCACAGAGCACCCACCACCTTGCATGATAAATCTGAAGCTTGCTAGTGGCATGTTGGAGCAGTCCCTCTTTGGGGCAACCTTCAGCCCCTCTTATTTTTTCCCCACAAAGAATGACCCGCAGAACTGCTCATTTTCATGATACCAAAATACCAAAGAGCTCCACATTTTTCATGACAAAGCTCAAATCAGTTGGGCACTTTGTATTCCCTTAAGACATTTACTATTTTTTAAGAGACGTAAAGTCAACAACCACTCCGATCTTGGCTTCAGC